AAGTATTTTGAGTTCGAAAAAGTGTGACAGAACTTTCCTGCCAACCTAATAGTTGCGAAATAACCGCACCACCACGGTCTTTAAAGTGAAAGTTGGGCGTTGCCTTGGCCAGTGGGCGAGACCGTGGCTTCGTCGCAAGCGGACGTTCAAAGAAGGTGGCTGGACACCAAATGAACGCAGGATCTACCTTTAACTAGACAATACAAAACTTACCTGTTTACCGTATTGGCAAGCCTCTTTCCATTTGTTGACGTTTTTTGTGAGCGCTCCCATGAGCGTAAACTTGTTTCCAATGTGTTGGGTCTGCTTTATCGGTTTTCTCTTCGTCTCATCTTACCATATTTTCTCTGCGACCGTCGTCATTTAGCCCATTGCAGTCGTCCTTCTGGTTCTTTGGACTATTCAAGACTTCTTTAGGCACCGTTCGGCTTAGAAAAAACCTCGGGGGTTGGGGCAGCTCGCACCCTTGCTACGTTCGTGTTGGGTTGCATGTCTCTCTTTGATGAGACCTGTAGACCCTTGTTAAGCGTAAACAAAACTCCTGCTATTGTTGCGTACTTTACAGGAATTTACAGGTCTTCACAAGAAACATCGATTGTGATAGATGAGAGCCAGCAAAATGCCCCCCCCCCCACCACTGAGCCGAACTGCGCCTTTCTTTCGTCTTCTTCAACCGATATATTAATAGTATCAATCGTAAACTGTGTGACAAGGAAGTGGTTTTGAATACCTTTGAGTTTATATGAAGTTCTTTTTTTGTTTTGCTTTCCGATAAAAATGTTTTCGCTTCACTTTGTTATTGTTAGACTGCAATCCTGTTTGTCAATGTGCTTGCCCTTTGCGCCACCGTGTCTCGTCACAATCCAATAATACTGTTTGCAGGAAGATGGCAGAGCAAGATGACGAATATCGTTCTTCGGATGACGAAGACTACGTTCCCGAAGACGGTGTAGAGGACGTTGATTGTTCTTCTGGAGACGAGGTAGCTTCTTATGCTCTACAATGCTTTTGGCTCAGTAGAAACGTGAAAAGCGACATCATGGTCGTCGCCAGAAAACTTACTAGCGGGGATGGTTAGAAGTGTGGCTGGTCGTGCTGCGTGTTGCGTATCTGTGGCGTACTTTGGCTAGACATCTCTGGTTCGCTGCGCTGCGGATGATGGGGCGTGTTCGCGCGGCGGTGTTCCCAAATCTGTTGTTCTCGTTAGTTTATCGAAGGTTGGGGCAGTTATAGTTAAAGGCTTACGATTAACTGTGATATTGATCTTATCCATGAGCGAAGCGTCAAGTCCGCAGCTATAGAGGGGGGGGGGCACCATTTTGCCACCTGGAAGTGAATAGCAGTGAAGCTGAGAGGTAGGGTGGCTGTATGCTCTTTTCTAGTCATGTTTGTTGCTGTGGTGGGGCGTGTCAGCGCGGCTGCGTTTGGCCCGGCGTCAACCCGATTTTCTTTCTATCAACAAGCGTCAAGTTTATGCCATATAGTTCACATCAACCGTTCTTTACCACTTATTATCACTTACCCGCTTCAACAACTCGTTGAGAACGGGTTACAGCGCGCAAACGCATGTTTGCCGCATGGACACTCCCATCCATCCGCAGCGAATAGACTGTATGTTCACCGTCCCACTAAGCAAAGTTAAGCCACAGCACACCACTACGCGCCTGATCACCATGCGCTACAATAGCACGAGTAGTGTTTCCGGTTACTAATATGTCTCCTGACGATGTCACATTAGAAGAGAGCTTTGGATAGAAAAAATGCTGCTAAAGTGCAATAGGGTTACGCAACATTGAACTTCAGATTGTAGTGATTGTGGTCATCACCTCTGCCAAACATTTCACCAGAGTGTAACGGTAAAAAAAGATTAGGATTGCGAAATGTTTCGACAGGATCATGTGCATGATGTGAAATACACGTAAAAAGGAGCATCATTACACTAAAGGCAGATGGTTGCAAGATTTAGACCCTAAAGTTTGTTAGATCTCAAAGGCACACTGTTTCGTTGACTGAGCGTAGATGGGTCTCGCATTAGGTGTTCGTGTCCATGGTCGACTAAGTGGCGTCGCTTTCGCCTGATGAAAAGGCTTAGTAGTGACGTCCAAAGGTGGAAGTAGTCCAGCCTAGTTATCCCTCCCCTTTTTTTTCTCACAATTACCATGTTCTGGTGCGTTTAGTATTTGCGCATTCCCCGTTGGCTGAAGTCATTACGCGGAAGTTGACGGCACCATTGCTAGAATATGTCAGTACAGTTGGCAACAGGTTATTAGTGCGATAAGGCTGAAGAAAACTAGGAAAATAAACTAGAAAAAAAACGATAAGTAGGGAGAGAAACACAGAAACTGAGGTGTAAGTTCAGCTCCACAATCGATCTGTTAGCACCAAGTCAGTACAGTGGAAAGCTCGTCCATGCTCCGGCAAACTCGTACGGTATCAGAGGTGTTGGAGGCCTTGTTTGGGTCAGTCCTGATTGCTTTTCTGCTGCTTTTCATTGGCCTACATCGCGCCACGGGGTCATATTTGAATACCATAACTGTCATCTTGCGCCTTTAAGTCCCATATCGAGGAGAAGACGTATATCACAGTCCCTACGCGCGTGCGAGGGAGCTAGATTCGGGGAGCTTGAGGTCCTGTAGCTCTGAGTGGTCTAACCCCTCCCTATTGTTGATTTTGCGATTTTTTTTGTTCCTTTCGGAAATGTATAGTGAAGATTGTAATCTTGACATTGAGGAAGACGGCGCGTGATATAATAAAGTCCCGTACACTTTCAGGTTGACGAAGTGACTGATAGCAGTACGGTAGTGGCATCGGGGCGGAAGCGTGGAGGAAAGGACAAACCTGCTACGGTCGATGAAAAAACGTGGTTGGTATTTCATTCGTTCCCTTTTCATTGCGTATGTCTTTCACCTTCTGGAACGCGATGTTATCATTATTTCTTTTTTTTGTTTATTTGTCAAAAATTGTTCATTTCTGATGATAGATCCCTCAGGCAAGCTTGTTGCTGTCGGATAGCTCTAGTGCTAGAATCACAAGTATGATAACTTCACTCCTTTCGAATAGATCACCTTTAAATTTTTGCGGGGAATCTGGTCTAGTCGCGATAATTTGTGACTTTTGCGCCCAGTTACTACTAGCCCAGCTGCTACTTGAGCAAACAAGTCGTGTTTTAGAATGGTACTCGTACATGGAGGCGGAGTTGGTGTAGTGACAAGTGGCGCGCTTACACCCGCGCGGTCCTGGGTTCAAATCCCGGGTCGACTCCCGCCCAGGCCAACCAAGCCTTCTACCCTCCGGGACGGTGAATTGGTACCAGATTCGTCTGGGAGGATAAAACACTGACTTGTACATCGGCTGGCCACCGCAAGTCATTGTATAGGCCACATCGCATTCAATAAGCCACTACGATTCTGAATGGAAGTAGAATGCGTGCCGCATCCCACAAAGGTATTGACCAACGCGAAGACTATCCTTTTTATGCTCGCAGAGGAAATTCGAAAGGTGAACAAAATCATGAGGACCATTACGGAGACCGCGGTGCTGTAGTTCAGCTTATCTGATGGAATTTTATAGATTTTTTTCAACCTCTTTCATTTCATTAAAAAAATATGCAAAAGAAGCAGGAAAAGGAAAATTTGTTTGAAGTTAGAATGATATGCATCCACCTTTTCTGGATGAGTACAAATCACTCAAGTAACTGTCATGAGAGCTAAAAACAAGCTTACCTAGCATTCTCGGATGCAAGAATTCATTTAGCACTCCTGCAGAGCCCGAAGACGACGCTGAAGCAGCCTTCATGGCGTTAATGGCAGAGAAGGATCCTATTCTGGGAAAAGCACGGGCGGAAGTTCTATCTAATACGTCAACTCCCACGAAGTAAGTATGCCTCATATTGACTACCTCTTTTATTGACTGGTTCTTTTTATATTAATGTTGCTGATTTCCAACATAGATCGTGTTTTCCTTAGATGCATAATCCCTTTCGTGGAGGAACTGTCCCTGGAAAATCGTTTTGAAAGCACGTGCCGCGCTTACCTAATGCATGTAATACATGGTCCAAATAGGAGTAAGGAATGATTTGTGAGCCAGAAGGCACACCGTCGGTTCTGGCAACGGTCCTGTCGACCTGCTTTGTCCGGACAACTCGTCCTATCGGAAGGCCTTGCCGTGCATTATCGGCTGTCTCTTTCGCTTTTTTCGTCACTCTCATGTTACTGTGCACCTACACTTAGTTGAACCTCACCACCAACGACCTGCAGTCGTAAACTGTTTATTTCCAAGAAGGGGGTAGCTGAAGACCGAAGCAATATACCTCTGTTCAGCACACAGGAGGTTGAGGGCTAGTGTTGGGGTGTTGCTTGTGTCGTCGCCACGTGATGAGTGGGACCTGGTTAGGCAATCCAAATTATCTTCATCCTCATTTGTTTGTGGAACAGAGGTGTTATTTGCTCGGCTGCAAGTTTTGCTGCCCCTAAACTTTCAAGCAAGCCAGGAAAGGCTCATGGTGATTTTTTTGGGTTTCTTGACGCTCGCGTGGGGCGACTGCGATTATTGTCAGTCCGTGGTCATCAAATTGCTTTCTAGTCATGTGCATCACATCGTGAAAAAGATACCACTGAAAAGGATATTCGGTGTGAGGTGAATGTTGTGGTGTGGCCCATTGCTGTTGTCTGAAGTGGAGTCGCAAAAAAATCTCTAATGAGATGGGCGGATCGTGGGCGGGAGTCAGGCGTACCATTTTATGGAGAGTCCATTCAGGTTCAGTTATGTAATTTTGGACGCTCTCTTACGGAGTATAATTTGTGTGTGATGTAAGCACACAAAATGTTCTCGGTAAAAAGGGGTGTGTCTATCTGGGGCGGGGTTCCTACAAGGTCTACCGTGTGCAGGGTGCAGAGGGAGCACTTCACCCAAGAATACGAAAAAATCGCTTTGCCAAAAGTATCCTGTATAATCTAATAAAAGCCGAGTAGCGCGCGTACAGAAACGAAATGCCAGAACAGCGCGTACAGAAACCAAATGCCCCGTATCGGGGCATGTAGGAACATTTGTTTTCTTTAACGAGCGATATTCGGCTTCTGTAACGTATGCATTCTCACATAATATTTCGCTTTTGTTTTAGCTAATTTCCATTTTATTCATTCGTTTATAACCGTTTACGTTTCAGACCATGTGCATCCCTGGAGACGGTTGCTTCTACATCCTCGTCATCAGTGCAGTCAGTGCAATCTGAATCACAGACTAAAGAGACAGCAGTGGTCACAGAAGTCTATGATTTTGCAGGAGACGAAGTCAAGTGAGCTAATAAAAACATTTCATTTCATTATGAATAGAAGTCATCCTGCCGGGGCACATCGTTGTGTAACGATTTCCCAAAAGAATGACCCCTCTCGACCCCCCCCCCCCCATTGACTCCGGTATCCCTGTATAAACGCCCCGGTACAACTCCCTTCAACAAGTAACCTACCTTATTGAATTTTCAAGAACATTGCTATCAAGAGAGAATAGCATCCGTCAAACGGACGGGGAAAATCTTTCTCAAGCGGAGGCGAGCCCCTTATGATGCCACAACGGTGGCGTGCCCTGTATACAGTCATGAGCTCACATATTTGGAAAACGTTTTCGTTTTCGAATAAACTTTGGCCTTTAGGGTACAACGAGTAGTTTCTGCAGAAGAAGCCAAGGAGATAGAAGCCAAAGAAAAACGGAAGGAGAACGAGAAGTCCAAGAAACCGACTCAAAAGTGAGGGAGCATTTCCAACTGTTGTGTGCAGCTCGTGTCATTGCTAGTCTTTCTATTCATGATTCAGGCGGCTAGGTATTGGAGCAGCTTTGACGTTGTTGGCCAAAAAACCGAAAATGTCCGTTCTTGACAAATCGGATCTTGACTGGAATCTTTTCAAATCCGAAAAGAATCTCAAGGTAAGAGTCATGAATAAGTCTAACTAGAACTTGGCGTACTTTTTAGTATAGACACATGAGTCCATATGGTATTAGCGTCATTCGTAATTGGCAGTGAAATGCGTAGATACAAGTATCACTTAGTGGCTATAGGTAATATCTATGACGGCACAAGGTGTCATCGAGCTGAGAGCGTAAAAGCGACTCCGATAGCGTATTAGATAGCCGTTTTATCGGTAAGCGTTAGGTGCGAGTTCATGTCCAGGCAGGGATCAGACTTTTGTCCACAACTAAGCACTCCTCTGATGAATTCCCATTATGTTAGAATGCGTTCAAACTGTGCGGCAGCGTCCACCAGCGACCAGTGGCGTCCATCAGCGTTTCGAGCGTCCGGCACGTCAGTGAAATCTAGCGATAGATAGAGATCTAGCGTCTGCCAGTGTCTACCAGCGAGCAGCAGCGCAGACGCTAGATCGATACCTATAGTTCCTTAATGCTTGAGACGCTGGTGGAAGCTGGCAGACGCTAGATCGATATCTGTATTTTCCTGTTCGCTGACGCTGTCGCACGCTTGGAACAATGGTGTACGCTATTGATCGCTAGTGGACGCCACCGCCAAATATGAAGCAGCCTTAGAAGAATGTGGGTAGGCGAGAAGTTTGGTGGAAGATTGGCACGCACGATGTGCCGGCCTTTAGGTGTGTAGGCGACAAAGTGGTGTTCAGAGCCATGGGAGTTATTTTTGTTTTCAAATTAGCTTGGTAGCGTTTACTGTTTGGCAGCAAACGCTACCAAGCTAATTGGAGATTTCCAATTTGCACACATATCAAACGAGCCCTCCCGTGTTGCATTTCACATCTCCGGTAATACAATTTTCCGTCTAGAGTTATGTTGTTATTAGATAGACCAAACTCCAGCCAATTTCCCTCACGCCCGAAGTTAAAATATGACAGTATTTCTAGTGGGGATAAGAGTGTGTGGGCGCTTTCCAGCGGGAAGGGGAGTCTAAATCAAAGCCGGAAATTTTTGTCTTTTTATGTTTGACAGTGATTGGATTCCACTACGTTGGACGGTGTCATGTTTCGCCGATTATAGCCTTCCTGAAAATTAGCGAATTTCTTACTAGGGAAGGTCGTCAGGTCGAAGTGGCCATTTGTAATGAGATGTAGCTCACTAGACGTGGTTTTGGACGCTGATCTCGAATCTGCCTTCGAAATTTGCAGAACGATTCTCTGAACGGAGTTATGAAGGTTTGTTAGAATTAAAATGAAGGAAAACGGAGTTCGAGGCAGCGTTGGCAGCCATTCGCATGAATAGCCGGAAAGCACCATTACGTGGCAAAGGCGCAGTGGTGTGCGTAATGGTCTTGCTTCGCAAGCAATACATGAGGGTTTCGGCATTCCTGCGAAGGAGGCTTTTTTTGGCATTTTTTGTGGGGAATGTCTCTTTTAAGTCTAGAAAACACTCAAACGCCAAATGGGTGGCCATATTCGTGTTCAGGGAGCAAAACTACCCTTGGGGGACAGGTTTCTAGCCAGATGTGAGGTTTTGACCTAACTTTGAAAGTGCGGTAGCAGTTGATCGAATGATGGTCACCAATAGTTCCAGGGCCAGTCTCTTGTCGATTGCTTGTCTTTGGACGGAATTTGCTTTTAGATACCAGGAAAACTGGAGCAGTAACAACATGAATGCGTAAGAAGTGGCAAGACGAGGTTTGTGCAGGAGAATGTATCTGCAGCTGAATAGGTGTGAACATCAACTGAACTAACCCATGGATGCTTCACTTTTCGAAGTCAGGCAAAACGTAATAAATGCCAGATTTGGGCCCTAGAGACCTCTAGCCAGGCGTAGTTCGCGCCCCATAAACACGAATAGCACTCGCTGCAGTGCGAAGAGCCTGCACTGCGCGCCAAGGCGCACACTGTAGCACCAAAAAGTTCCTTGATAGAAAGAATTAAAGCGCTAAGCGGCACCAGCAGTAAGAGAGCGCTAAACTGTTTATTCAGGGGCAAGTTCAAGAAGAGCGCTAATGGTAGTAGTGACGTCCCACAAACACCATTTTGCCACGTTTGCGCAAAGCAAAAAAAGTTAAGTTCCCAGAGATCATCCCACTACCTTTGCGTGAATAGACGTGCTGTAAAAGCCCCAATACCACGCGTCCAGAAAGGCGCTTTGGCAAATAGGCAGATTCGAGATCAGCATTACAAACCCAGTCTACGTGAGCTACATCTCATTACAAAATGGCCACTTCAAGCCATGATGACCTTCCTAACAGTGCGCAATGATCACCATGGTGAAATGTTGTAAAGTCAATAGATGAAGACAGGTTTTCAGCAGCGGTCTACCAACACCATGCCATAACGTAGTTTGCTCTCACATCATTAAATTCTCCCCACAGTCGCGAAAGTTGGTCCACAAACCATGTGGGAAATCGTCCACTGTGACAAGGCTCCTCCAGGGACTCTTCTCTTCGCCTTATGCTCACTTCCCATTTTTGAACCTGCGTCTTTGTTTAGGGCTTTCTAACTTGCAGGTCGTTTATTTGTTCTTGTGTTAAATTAATTGTTCCAGGAGGAGCTGGAAACGTTCAACCGTGGGAAGAATGGTTACTTGGACAAAATGGAATTTTTGTCAAGGACGGACTATAAGGAATTTGAGAAAGAGAAAGCATTGCGCAATTCATCGCGTAAACCTATCTAGCCCGAGCTTGCTTTAATGGGTAGCTCTTATATCAGAGGTTCCATTGTTATTGAATGATCTGCTGCTCAACTTATTTTCAAACTACTTTAAGAAATAGTTGTCAAGCTAGCTCATTTCATGTTCATCTGTCAACGAATTTTCCCGATTTTGTTCTATCCCTGTGCTACGTTGACATGTTCAGTATGAGCCATAATGGCTATATATCTATTGTCAGAGTGGTTTTATTCCTTGTTTTCAATGTTGTTGATTTTTTGCAATTTTTTGTGATAAATTACGTTGATTTGTGTATTGTTCAATTGGCGTAGACTGCGGTGGTTGATGTCCACGTTGAAATCGACTTCGTGGAAGTCTCATCTATTGAGTTTTTTAGTAGTTTTTTTTAAATTAAATCTATCAAGTAAAAGTCCAATTCTCGCTGCATTTTCAGTGTTAAACATTTTAATCAGGGCACGTCGTCGTACGTGGGGGATTCCCAGTGTAAGGGTGGACCGTGGTTAGTCGCTGCACGAAGGTCGTATTTCCCTTTTTGGAAAACGTTTTTGGTTGTTGACTTTCCATCGATTTGTCCTGTTTCACGTGCGCTGCACCCCCCCCCCCCTGC